TAGGAAAAAGTGGATGATGAACTCCTTCCTGTATTCTTCAAGGGCCCAATGGCATCTAAGCTTCTATAAGACCTTATATGTGCCTGTACTGGTAGGGGTCACTGCACAATCAACTGTGGCTGTAGTCTATAGTCATAATAATCTTCCCTGAACAGAAATGGAGCAATATACAGACTTTCCTTCCTACTGCAGTAATTTGTTTATTAGATAGACATGCAACTCAAGAGTATATTTGTGAAGTTTATGCTGGGATGCCAGAATTTTCCTAGGAGAGGTCCTGCCATCATCACAAGGAGGGATATATAAGGGATATAGAGAACAGATGTTCCTTGAATGATTAATAATTACATGACAATATGAAAATGATTTACATTATGTGTGATATTTTGTTTAAGGATCCAAAGATAGCCAAAGTCAGAGTTCCTCTCCCTAAGAACAGAAACTAAAATGGATAAATGAGGATATTGTTAATCAACTGGGCAAGAATCTCTCATAATTTGCATATGAATCAAACCTCTTTCTCCCTCCCAGTCTAGCTAAGGCCTTGGCTAAACTCGTGACTTCCCAGCGCTGCCGTAGCAGCGCTGGGAAGTGCGAGTGTAGTCGCGGCGCCAGCGCTGCGAGAGAGCTCTCGCAGCGCTGTATGTACTCCACGTCTCCCAGGGGAATAGCTTGCAGCGCTGCGAGCGAGCGTGCAGCGCTGCAGGCTCTGATTACACTGGCGCTTTACAGCGCTGTACTCGCTGCACTCGGGGGGAGGGCGTTTTCACACCCCTGAGCGCAGCAAGTTGCAGCACTGTACAGCGCCAGTGTAGCCAAGGCCTAAAAAGAATTCCAAGTTACCAAGCAAAGGTAATACCCTGCTGCTTATACAGATCTTGAACAGAAGAACGGCCATACTGGGTCAGACCCAAGGTCCATCCAGCCCAGTATCCTGTCTTCCGACAGTGGCCAATACCAGGTGCCCCAGAGGGAATGAACAGAACAGGTAATCAATCAAGTGATCCATCCCCTGTCGCTCATTCTCAACTTCTGGCAAACAGAGGCTAGGGACACCATACCTGCCCATCCTGGCTAATAGCCATTGATGGACCTATCCTCCATGATTTATCTAGTTCTTTTTTGAACCCTGTTATAGTCTTGGCCTTCACAACATCCTCTGGCAAGGAGTTCCACAGGTTGACTGTGCGTTGTGTGAAGAAATACTTCCTTTTGTTTGTTTTAAACCTGCTGCCTATTAATTTCATTTGGTGACCCCTAGTTCTTCTGTTATGAGAAGGAGTAAATAACACTTCTTTATTTACTTTCTCCACACCAGTCATGATTTTATAGACCTCAATCATATCCCCCCTTAGTCATCTCTTTTCCAAGCTGAAAAGTCCCAGTCTTAATCTCTCTTCATATGGAAGCCGTTCTATACCCCTAATCATTTTTGTTGCCCTTTTCTGAATCTTTTCCAATTCCAATATATCTTTTTTTGAGATGGGGCGACCACATTTGCATGCAGTATTCAAGATGTGGGCATACCATGGATTTATATAAAGGCTATATGATATTTTCTGTCTTCTTATCTATCCCTTTCTTAATAATTCCCAACATTCTGTTTGCTTTCTTGACTGCTGCTGCACATTGAGTGTATGATTTGTTATTTGATCGACACACATGACATTTTATGGGAAGCGCTGTAGAGAACAGAGGATAGGCATGATATACTCACGGTAGCCTGTGTTGCGGAGGAGATGCACGGCAGCATTTTGTATTAGCTGGAGTTTCCTAAGTGCTGAAGATTTCATGTCCAGGTATATCACATTGCTGTAGTACAGCAAAGAGATGATGAAAACATGAATAACTGAGTCCAGGTCTTGCATTACCTGCAACTGTTGCAATGTGAGAGCTCAGCATCATTGAGGAATCCAAGAGTTCCCCTAGACTGTGGACTGAATTGACCAATTGTGGATGTGACCCTTGAATCAAAGAAGACTGCATCATGGCTGCAAATGCCTCAAAATACTTTCCTCTGCCCACCAGCAACACCTCTGTTTTGTTCAGTTTCAGCCAGTTGTTCTTCATCCATGAGCTGAACTCATTCAAAGACTGACCATCCTGGTGGTAGTGATGTGGTGAAAGATAGGTAGAGCTGTGTGTCATCTGCATATTGCTGGCACTTGAGTATTTGTTGTCTGACCAGTTCATCTAGTGTTTACATATATGTTGAAAAGAACCAGAGAGAGAATTGATCCTTATGGACAGTGGTATTGGAACTAGGGATGTTGGAGGTGCTGCTGCACCCCCTGACTTGAAGTAGAAATAACAGACACCAAATACATGGTTTCCATGATCAGCACCTCCACTATAAAAACTATTCCAGCACCCTTGCTTGTGGAACCCCACAAGTGAGGGGTCTAGTGGTAGAGGTGCAATTTCCCATCATTACTATTTTTGTACACCCTCCAGGAAGGACTCAAATAACTGTAGCACATTACCCTGGACTCCTGTTACCGCTCTTAGGCAAGACAACAGTATCTCATTGTCAACAGTGTCAAAGATTATAGACTGGTCCAAGAGGATGACAATGGTAGTCTTTCCTCTACCCATAGATGGGAGATCATCCATCAGTGCCACTAAAGCAGTTTCGGTTCTGTATCCTGGCCTAGATCCAGATTGTGCCAGCTCTAGAATGTTGGCTTTAGTTAGATGAGCTTGTAGTCAACCTTTGACTAGCTTCTCTATGAGCTTGCTCAGGAATGACGGGTTTGACACTGGGAGATAGTTGGCTAGGACTAAAGTGTCCAGGGTGGATTTCTTCAGTGTAGATTGGACTATTGCATATTCTGTGGCAGAAACACATTTAGTAAGATCCAGGCTTTAATTGCAATACTGAAATGATGATGGTACTTTAAGATCTATAAGACTCCTTGGCTTCAGTCTGAATGCTGGAACCTGAGAAATATGGATATGTAAATTGGTCCTAAAATGTTTTTCCCAACATTTGGCTCATGAATTGTGATCAGTGCAATTAGACTGGATAACTGCAGAATAAGAACCAGTGTTAGCCAATCAGATTCCACTTTAAAACCTGTATTTTAAACAGAGGAGATCTGCAGTCCAGAGCATACTGTCACACTCAGGACAGAGTCAGCAGTACACTTCTCATTTGGAGGACGGGTTAGCTTGAAAGTGAACAAGTTTAATGAGGAAATAGATTTTAAGATATTATACTTGGACCTATTATGTTACCTGCAGCAATTTTAAGTTAAAAAGTCCATGCTTCAAATGTTGTCATTGTACAGAGGTCCACAGTTTCACATATTTCTATTGACATTGATCAGAACAATACTAATAGTTAAAGTGCTTTTCTACATGTTTTAACGAAAATATTATTTGACATTAAAGGATCCTTAAAGGGTAAGCATATATTCCTTTACGTACACACAAAAATGATGGATATTTCAGAAATGCAGATAATAATTTGACTGTAGCCTCCACTCAGCAAATAATTTCTCTTTCAAATCAATTTTTGGGAATGCAGAAAGGATTTATATTTGAATAAGTATCCCACCTGAATGAGTTTCTTACAAAGATCTTGATTCTTTAGTTTGCATCCAGAATGCAGCAAAGATCAATTAATGCAGATCCAATTGAAAGATCAGGACCATATATACTGTCTGTATATTCTGCTTTCATAGATACAAATGATTTTAAGAAACTGGGCACTTTCCTTGTCTCCCTTGTTTTAATTTGCAGACTTTATTTTAGAATAGATAACCCCAGATAACATGAAAATAGTTGGTCTGCTAGTTACCGAGGCTACTGGTTCTCCTGCTGAAACCACCAAAACCCCACAGACAATTATGGAGTCTACTGGACTTCCCATTACCAGTAACATAATTTGTAATATAATTTGATAATATAAATCCCTTCATCCTGGTCAAGGATTGTAACCAATCCTTAATTCCGCTGGGATTATATTAACAGAGGTGATCCTACAGTTTATAATTGCTCCTTTGTGGGATAGTTATGGGTCCTGAAATCACTTTCAGAACAAACCAAAAAAAAAAAAAAGAAAAAGGTTGTGGTGTGATGGTGAGCAGTGGGACACAATGATGTGTTGGGATGGTATACACATTTGGCATCATGCGATATTGCCAACTGTTATTACTTTAATATTTGGGGCTTTTAAGCTCCTGCTTGTGGAATCAAGAGATTGCATGAAAATCATAGCTTTCTTTAAAAAAGTGTCTAGCCCTTGCGGTTGCAAAGGCTCAGCAGCCAAAAGACAAATATAAAGAACACACTATGTATTTTCTAAAATCTCATGATTTTAAAGTCCGTTTTTCTGGGGTCCGCCTCATGTATCTGATTGCTTGGGGCTGATTGACAACACTCATTTAAGGTTATAGTGCTGTTTGAACATAATAGGGGATGCTTTTAGGTGCGAGGTGAGGTTACTGTGCCAAAATATTGCGTTGCTTCAGGATCTCAACCGCTCTGAAGATAACCCAGCAAAGCCGCAAGGCTGGGAGGAAATGAATTGCGCACAGCGCAAGGGGTCCACTCCCCTTACTAACGGGAGTCAGTGATGGACTCAGTGAGCCTATAAAGGGGAATTTAGTGTTTTGGCGGAACTAGCTTTGCCCTGTTTCAAGATGGCTGCTCCCTTAATTTAAGCCTCTCAGGCTAAGGGGAAGTTTTGCCCCACGTCAAGATGGCGGCGGGCCGACCTCAGTTCGGCGCTTTTAGTTGTGTTCCAAGACAGTAGCAACCGGAACTCAGCAGCGCACTCCTTGCCCTGTTTTAAGATGGCGACGTCCCGACCTCAGCCCTTTACGCTGTCGACCGATTCCAAGATGGCGCCCCGCAATACACGTTGCGCTCTCGGAGCTCCCCGCCCCAGCTACCTCCCTGAGCCCCTCCCCTGCGCTCGGGCTTCTGACCTCACTTCCGCTTGTGCAGCAGCCATTTTGTCTTTCCGTTGCTGCTGCCCGAGCTTCTCCCTCCCTCCCGCCGCCGCTGGCTGGGAAACTCCAGTTCCCCCCCCCGGGCCCAGCTCCCTCCGGACCCGCTGCCCAGGGGGCCGCTGCCTTCAGCCTCCCTCCTCCTGCCCAACCGCTGGCCAGGTTGCCTCGGACCCGCGGATCGGCGTCTCTCGTCCCCTCCCCCCAGCGGCGCATGCTCCGCCGGGCCCCCGGCCGCGCGGACACCCGGTAGCCCCCCCCGCCCTAGGGGCTGGGGCGCCCCTCAGTGCCTGGCCACGGGATCCCCCAGCTCTTGGGGCAACGCCCCAGCCCCCCTCCCCACGCTGAGCGCCCGAGACGCCCCACAGCTCCCTAGGGGCTGGGTGCGGAGGGGGCGCCGGGTCCCAGCTGCCCCTACCGGGGTGAGCGGCTGAGACGCCCCGCGAAGGAAAGCGGGGGACTGGCTCGGCAGGGGCCCCGCCGCCCCCGGCAGCCGCGGAGCCGGTCCTGCCCAGCCCGGCGGCGCCATGTCCAGCGAGGAGAGCTACCTGGCCATCCTGCGCTACCTGACCAACGAGCGGGAGCCCTACGCGCCCGGCACGGAGGGTAACGCCAAGCGCAAGATCCGCAAGGCGGCCGCCTGCTATGTGGTGCGCGACGGGACCCTCTACTACCAGCGGCGGCAGCGGGACCAGCAGCGCTTCGCCGAGCTCGAGGTGGTGCTGCAGGCCGAGCGCCGCGCCCGCCTCATCCGCGCCGCCCACCTCGGCCCGGACGGCGCCCACCGCACCCGCCTGCAGACCTGGCAGGGACTCTCGCAGCGATACTGGTGGAGAGGTGAGGCGGGGCCCTGGCTGGGAGAGCGGCGGGGCTCAGCCGCAGCAGGAGGCGGGGAGCGGGGTCGCGTGGTGGGAGGCGCCCGGACGGGGCCGATCTCTCGCAGCGGCGCGCTGAGCCCGCTCGGGGATAACGGGCAGGGGAGAAGAGCACCTGCGGACTGTCCTGAGCGGCTCTCTCGCTGCCGCCGCACGTGGAGCCCGCCCAATGGGGTAGGTGGGGCCGGGCGCGACATGCAGCTGCCTGCGGGAGCCAGCCAGCGTGTCTGGGCGGGGCTCCGGTCGGGAGCTCGCCAATCCCTGGAGGGTGTGCGGACCCCAGTGGTGCTCCCCAGCCCACGTAGCTTAGCGCCCTGGTGAGCTGTGTGTCACAGAGCCTGGGCATCTGTCAGGCAGGGGCGCCAGGAATTGGCTACACCTTTACCAGCATGTTAAGTACATTTAGAAGCAGGATTCTTGTCAGTCAGTGGGGCCAATGGATGATGAGGTATTAAAGGGGCACTCAAGAAAGACAAGGCCTTTGCTGAGAAGCAAAACACATTTTTGCATTGGATTTCACTGCAGTGGATGTGAGGGAGATTCCCATGCCTGTGCCATTCTTTTTAGGTGACTGATCTGAGGAATTGACCTAGAATTGAGGTGTCAATAAAGAAGGTTTTAGAACAAATTGGTAAATAGTAATAGGTCCCGAACCCGATAGTGTTCAAGAAAGAGTTCTGAAGGAACTCACATATGAAATTGCAGAACAATTAACTGTGGTATATAAGCTATTACTTAAATCAGCCTCTGCACCAGATGACCTGAGACTAGGTAATGTAACACCAATTTTTTTAAATGTTCTAGAGGTGATCCTGGCAATTACAGGCCAGTAAGCTTAACTTCAGTACAGGGCTAATTGGTTGAAACTATAATGAAGAATAGAATTATCAGACACATAGATGAACATGATATGTTGGAGAAGAGTCAAAAAAGCTTTTGTGAAGGGAAATCATGCCTCACCAATCTCTTAGAATTCTTTGAGGGGGGTCAGCAAATGTGAACAAGGGGGAATCCACTGGATATAGTGTACCTGGACTTTCTGAAGGCTTTTGACAAAGTCCCTCACGAAAGGCTCTTAAGCAAAGCAGACTGTGATAAATAATCTGGAAAAAGGGGTAAATCGTGATGGTGGCAAAGTTTGTAGACAATACCAAATTATTCAAGATAGCTAAGTCCAAAGCTGACTGTGAAGAGTTACAAAGGGATCTCATAAAACTGGATGACTAAGCAACAAAACAGCAAATGAAATTCAATATGGATAAATGCAGAGTAATGCACATTAGAAAACATAATCCCAACTGTACATACAAAATGATGGCGTCTACATTAGCTGTTACCACTCTAGAAACAGATCTTGGAGTAGGAGCGCCGGAGCGGACCGAGCCATGTGGTGCAGCCCCCAATCCCGCTCCTGAGTGGGAGCTCACTTGCCGGCTTAAAACGGCTCGCGAGCCGTAGTTTGCCCACCCCTGGGTTAGAGAGTAGCATAGTCAGCCACCACTAATATGTATTTATTTCCCATTTGGATCACCCCAAGGTCCCTCAACGTCTATGGACACCCTCTTACAGATTTCTTCATTTATAGGTAGCAGCATCATGGGTGGTTTATAATCCTTCCCTCAAGACTAAACTTGCCCAGTTTTTTAACCTTTCCTCATAGGTCAGGTTTTCTAAATCTTTTATCATTTTTGTTGCTCTTCTCTGGACTCTCTCCAGTTTGTCCACATCTTTCCTAAGTTGTGACACTCAGAACCAGACACAGTATTCCAAACCGAAACCTCACCAATGCTGAGGAGACCAGGACAGGTACCTGCCGTGTCTTACATACAACACTCCTCTAAAGACACCTAAGAATATTAGCCTTTTTGCAACTGCAGCACATTGACTCGTATTCAATTTGTGATCCACTGTAATCCCCCGATTCTTTTCAGCAGTACTACAACCTAGCTATTTATTCCCCATTTTGTATTTACACATTTGATTTTTCCTTCTTAAGTAAACTACTTTGCACTTGTCTTATTGAATTTCCTCTTGTTGAATTCAGACCAATTCTCCAGTTTGTCAAGGTTGTTTTGAATTCTAATCCTGTCCTCCAAAGTGGTTGTAACCTCTCCCAGTTTGGTATCATCCACAGATTTTATAGGCATACTCTCCACATCATTAAAGAAAACACTGAATAGTACCAGATCCAGGACTGACCACGGTGGAACCCCACTATATATGCCTATCCAGTTTGACAGTGAACCATTGATAAATACTGATTGAGTAGTCTTTCAATTAGATGGCGTTTCCCTAGTTTGCTTATGAGAGTATCATATGTGTTTAAAACATTAGTAAAATTAAGATATGTCATGTCTACTGCTTCCCTCCCCTTCTCTCGCCCCCCACCCCCTTTCAGTAGGCCAGGAAGGAAAGACCTAGAAAGAAATTAGTTTGGTTGGCATGATTTGTTCTTGACAAATCCATGTTGGCTCTTCCTTATAACCCTATTATCGTCTAGATGCTTACAAAGTGGTTGTTTGATAACTTTGTAACACTTATATCCTATCATAGAATATCAGGGTTGGAAGGGACCTCAGGAGGTCAGCTAGTCCAGGACCCATCCCCAACTAAATCCCTAAATGGCCCCCTCAAGGATTGAACTCACAACCCTGGGTTTAGCAGTCCAATGCTCAAACCACTGAGCTATCCCTCCCCCCAACTTGTTCCAGTATCTTTCCAGGTATGAAAGTTAGGCTGACTCATCTATAATTCCTCAGGTCCTCTTTGTTCCCCTTTTTAAAGATGGATATTATGTTTGCCTGTGGGACCTCACCCGTCCTCCGTGAGTTCTTGAAGATAATTGCTAACGGTTCCAAGATTGCTTCAACTACTTCCTTAAGTACTCTGGGATGAATTTCATCTAGCCCTTCTGGCTTAAATATATCCAACTTCTCTAAATAGTTTTTAACCTGTTCTTTCCCGATTTTGGCTTATGCCCTTTGTTATTAATATTAATTGTGTTGAATATCTGGTCACTGTTAACCCTTGGTCCATCTGTTTTTCTGTGTTTGTACAGTGCCTAGCACAATGGGGTTTTGGTCCATGACTAGGTCTCCTAGGTAGTACTACCATAGAAATAATAATGTTTAGTCATTCCTCGTATCTGTTTATCATGGGACAGCTTTGGATGAAGCATTCTTACAGCTAATTTCCAGTGGCTATTGCTAGCTCTTGAGGGGCGGGGCAGGGCTGGGATGTGCCTTAAATCTGTATTTCCTGGTTCACAGGCTTAAGCGTACATACATTTGACATTCTGGAAGGGTATGAGGGATTGCCCATCAACCCTAACTCTGAGTTACCCAAGTTTTGGGCCTGTGATAAACAGCTGGGTTTGGCATCATGATCTTCTGAAGGTCAGCAGGCAGAGGTTCTCTTTTTGCACTAGCAGGATAAATTAATTTGAATTGAAGACTGAGTATGTTTACACTACGAGTGCTACAGTGGCACAACTGCATAGTAGATCCATCCCCTCTAAAGGCAGTGGCTAGTTCGACAGAAGAGTCCATCTGTCAACCTAGCTGCATCTAGAGTGGGGGGCTAAGTCAACCTAACTATGTCGCACAGGGCACAACATTTTTCAGAGCCTTGAGCGATGTAGCTAGGTCAATTTAAGTAATGAGAATGCCTTGGGAGCTGCCCTAAGACATTTAAATCTAAGTACTGTTAATTCAGGTGCCTAATCTCAGCTGCAGGTGTTGAAGTATTGGGAATATCTTACACCCAGACCCCCTAAACTCACATGGAGCCCCATTAATTTCAACAAGTCTCCATGTGGACATGGGTCCACATGCATAGAGCCAGTTGCAGGATCAGTGTCATAGTTTGTAAAGCTAGGTTCCTTTGGAATTAAATGCTACATAAATATAAGATTGGAAGAAGCAGTCATGCACAAGTCCTTCTGGAATGATGTTTGACCTAATAAGTCTAACAATCTTCAGTACTTCCACCAAGAATGAGCTGTTAATAATCAGTTGATTAAATGAAAAGAACATCCACTCACTCAAGCCCTTAAAAGCAATGAAAATGGCCACTTACATAGTTATCCTCTTAACATACCTTGAACCTCACACATCACATTCATCATTTCACTGACCATCTCCACTTCTAAATAAATCCCATATACCTTCAACATTTCGACAGTTATACAATTCAGGCGCTATATTCTTTACCCTCACACTGTAATAAAACCTTAACTTTGGCATCAGCAACATACATGTCTGTGAGGTATCTGCATACTTGTGAACTATCTAATGTGGTGTTTTATCTTTGGGATGTATGATGAATAGTGAGTTGCAGACAGGTGAAAGTATAATCCAGGAATCTTTGAATGCTAGTGTGCTGTTCTAACCAATGGACATTCTTTCTTTAAATTAATCTGACATAAAGGCTACAAAAGCTGGGGTTCTGAAGAAGTATCTAAGACTGTTCTTGTCCCAGTGAAAACTATGTGAGGTAGGGAGTAAACGTCTTTACATATGGTATGTGATATTTTATTACAGCTGGCTGAAATTTTGCAATTTCAATTTTGATGTAAAATTGCAACCAAAAAAACTGACAAAATTTTCACGAATCCCCATCCCCACCTCTTTCAATTTTTAGGCCAGCTCTATATATTTTCCCTTGGGGAAAGCTGAATTTAAATGACTTGTAGATTACAAAAATAATTGTTTTTTTGATTCTTGGGTTATTTCTGGCTTTACAAACTGGGTTGAGCTGAAGGTGACGGCTAGTGGCGTTCTGTTATTTTCTTTGTTGGGCCTGTCCTGTAGTAGGTGACTTCTTGGTACTCTTCTGGCTCTGTCAATCTGTTTTTTCACTTCAGCAGGTGGGTATTGTAGTTTTGAGACTGCTTGATAGAGATCTTGTAGGTGTTTATCTCTGTCTGAGGGATTGGAGCAAATGCGGTTGTATCTTAGAGCTTGGCTGTAGACAATGGATCATGTGGTGTGTCCTGGATGGAAGCTGGAGGCATGTAGGTAAGTATAGCGATCAGTAGGTTTCCGGTATAGGGTGGTGTTTATGTGACCATCGCTTATTAGCACAGTAGTGTCTAGGAAATGGACCGCTTGTGTGGATTGGTCTAGGCTGAGGTTGATGGTGGGATAGGTCATCTCAATTATCACTTCAAACGTTTTTTTTCTCTTGCTGATGATAGCTCATCTCAATTGATTGGCCTCTTACAGTTGGCATGGCTACTTCCACCTTTTCATGTTCTCTGTATATATAAATATCTTCTTTGTGTGTGTTCCATTCTATGCATCCGATGAAGTGGGCTGTAGCCCATGAAAGCTTATGCTCAAATAAATTTGTTAGTCTCTAAGGTGCCACAAGTACTCCTGTTCTTTTTGCAGATACAGACTAACACGGCTGCTACTCTGAATACTAAGGATGTAATAATTAGTAAAATGACAGATTGCCCTTTCTCATGTGTGTTATGTAAAATAGATGACTAACATAAACTAATGACGCTTTCATTAATACTTTTCCTTAGGTGTTCTTAAGCAAGTTAAAGATTACATTAAAGAATGTAGCAAGTGCCAGGAAAAGCTAGATCGTTCTAGATCCCTGTCAGATCCTTCTGAAATGCTGGAGGAGCTAGGACTGGACACAAGATCTCATGAAGACAGTAATGAAACAGATGATGAATTAAGTAACACTGCATCAGTCCCAGCTGCATCACCAAAACCTGTGAAAAAGAAACCAATAGCAAAACATGAGCTTGTATTTGTAAGTAGCATTTTATCTACTTGTAAAATTATAAGATGTTAATTTAACAGTCTTAGTCAAATTATTTATCATAGCTCTTACTAGTGCAATATGATCTGATACTAAATTTCACTGAATGTTCAAGTAGAATAGAGCATATTGCAGTGTTTAGAAACTGGATCAAATGAGTGTCTAAATATCTGTTTTTCTGTCACCCTATTCTTCATTTTTGTTTCACAAATGATTGTGTGTGTAGGAATTAAAAAAAAAAAAAAAAAAAAAGTTTCCACAGGTTTTTGATTTTTATATATTTTTCTTTTTCTCTCTCGTTTTGTCTGTTTTCGCATTGTGCGAGTATAATTTTAAATGTCTAAAAGGGACAGTGGTAGCAAATTGAAACAATTCATTAAAAGTCTTGTTTTTTCAGATGAGCTGATCTGTTTTTTCAGGGTGAACTCAATTTTTATCATAAAAGTGCATTCTTAATACAGTAACTCCTCACTTAATGTTGTAGTTATGTTCCTGAAAAATGCAACTTTAAGTGAAACGGTGTTAAATCCAATTTTCCCATAAGATTTAATGTAAATACGGGGGATTAGGTTCCAACAAAAATTTTTGGGGGCAGACAAAAGGCTTTATATACTGTACAGTACTGTACTGTGGTTGGGAGGTGCCCCTGGCTTACCGCACACAGGCACAGCCCGCTACAGGCAAGGACGCTAGGAAGCACCTTGCGCAGCAGCAGCGGCAGCTTCCCCCCAGAAGAACAGGCGCCGACTTTGCTGGGGGATGCTCCAGGCCTGCCTCTTCCTGTCCCCGCTCCACTCCAGGCCCACCTCTTCCCACCCTCACTCCACCTCCTCTCCAGAGCACACCGTGTCCCCGCTCTTCCCCCTCCCTCCCAGAAAGTCCTAAGCGCCGCCAAACAGCTGTTTGGCAGCGGGGGAAGCGCTGGGAAGGAGGGAGAGGAGGCGGAGAAGAGGAACTTGTGCAATGCTCCCTTGTAAAGTCACTGCTCTTCCAAGCACTGGACAGATCAGGCAGCCAAATGACGTTATAAGGGAGCATTGCACAACTTTAAACGAGCATGTTCCCTAATGGAGCAGCGACGTAACTTTGAAACAACATTAAACTGGAGGACGTTAAGTGAGGAGTTACTGTACATATTCGTCACAACTCAGAGATAGATGTAGGTTTCATTTTTAGAAGGTACACACTATATGTTTTTAAACAGTGTTTTATTTTGAAAACTTTTCAGATTAGTTTTACAGCTATATCAGAAAACGAATGATTGTTTGGTTATTTCATTTACCAAAGGTAATTGAAGCAGATATTTATGAAGTCACTGGGAGGTGAACTATCTCCAATTCAACAGGTTAATCATTAATATTTGGAGGATTTTCTTGCCATGCTGTATTAGGAGGAGAACATCACCAGATAGACATTTAAATTGTTTTATTTAACTAAAACAACAACGTTAAGTATTCTGGATTTTTTTTTTCTTCAACAGCAAACATATGCTTTTTTTGTTAAAATATTATATGTCCCTTGCGTCTCACATTTATCTCCAGACTTCTTCTCCTTGTCCAGATCTATTCCGCCCCCAACAATCTTCTATTCTATTAATTGAAGTTTTTGAAACTTTGTACTTTTAGAGAGAGGTAAGGGATTGTCTCTGTGTACACAAATTTGCAGAGGGACAATAGAGTTGAGGTCTGTTACTTCTCACCTCTATATATTTATTTATTTAAAAACATTTTTGCTGTTAACAAGCATGTTATCTCTGGAGAGACAAATCCAGAGTTTGAGAACTGCAAAACTAAGCATCTCTGATGGTATCTTCTAGACTGAGTACTGAGTCCCATTGGGTAGATAAGATTGAAAGATTAACCTAAATAATCTGTACAGAAGCCTGTGGAACCCCATAAGATTGGGTCCCTAACCCATGAACTATTGGAATTCATTTACAAAACTTTTCTTAAACATTACATGACTATTGTCTCATACTATAGAATTAGAATTTATAATCCCTATTCCATGATGACAAGTATCAGAGGGGTAGCCGTGTTAGTCTGAATCTGTAAAAAGCAACAGAGGGTCCTGTGGCACCTTTAAGACTAACAGAAGTATTGGGAGCATAAGCTTTCGTGGGTAAGAACCTCACTTCTTCAGATGCCAAAAGCTTATGCTCCCAATACTTCTGTTAGTCTTAGGCCTGGTCTACACTAACCCCCCAAGTCGAAGTAAGGTACGCAACTTCAGCTACGTGAATAACGTAGCTGAAGTCGACATACCTTACTTCGAACTTACCGCGGTTCAGACGCGGTTCACACGGGGCAGGCAGGCTCCCCCGTCGACTCCGCGGTACTCCTCTCGTTGAGATGGAGTACCGCAGTTGACGGCGAGCACTTCCTGGTTCGATTTATCGCGTCCAGACCAGACGCGATAAATCGAACCCGGAAGTTCGATCCCCAGCCGCCGAACTAGCGGCTAAGTATAGACCAGCCCTTAAAGGTGCCACAGGACCCTCTGTTGCTTATTCCATAATGAGATATCTTTGAGCTGTAATGTATCTTAATTAAAACTATCTTTAGATATGTGTTTTCCTCAAAAAGCATTTTATCAATAAAATCTGATTTAAATTAAAAAAATATGATTTTTTTATTAAAAAAAAAAAACATTGCTTTTTATCCACCCTGTCTTTTTTCCAGAAAAGAAGAAATGTCTAGTGCTCAGTATGAATGCTTAAAAAGATAAATGTAAAGCAGCTCTTTGTAATGGATTTGTTTATGGCAGGTTGATAGTAAAGGCCTTGTGAAGCAGTCTTCTTCAAAACATTCTCTGTCAGTTTTAAACCAACTGAACCAGCAAAGGCTTTCCAATCAGTTCTGTGATGTTACTCTGTTGATTGAAGGAGAAGAGTACAAAGCGCACAAATCTGTCTTGGCAGCCAACAGTGAGTACTTCCGGGAGCTTTTCATCGAAAAGGGCGCTGTCTCCAGTCATGAAGCAGTAGTGGATCTTTCAGGTAAATAGGCTCCAATTTCAAAAGATTTTAAGCAGAAAATGTTAAGTAAGGCTTAGTGAATGTGGTGTAGTAGCTTCTGAATATGTAAGGAGACTGAGCATTTGAGCTCACTTCTTGATTTAGAAATGTTGTGGGGTTTTTGGATTTTATGCTAGAAGAAACCATTGTGATCATATAGTCTGACCTTATGCATAACACAGACCATAGAATATCAGCCAGTAATTCTTGTGTAGCCTTTGAATAACTATTTTTTAATCTGCTTAGTTGTGTTCATGCTTCGTATTGGTTTATTGACTTTAAAAGCAGGCAAATGCCTGAATATATAAAGGAACGTTCGTATCTTCTGGAAGAGTTCTTTTGCCCGAGCAAACACTTTTGGTCAAGTGGCATGTTATACAACTATAGGCAACAGAAAACTTGACCCTTCAAGTCTCTTGAAGCCAGGAGAATATTAATAAAGCTTCAAAAACTGTGTTTTCATGACAGAAGTTATTGTACATAGCACATGGGTGAATGCTTGGTATGTTGGTCTACTAGTACTGGCCTTTCTTCTTGTTTCCTCTCCAATTCCTATCCTTCTGTAGTTTAGATGGATGAACAAATTGACTTTTAGCATGATAGTCCAGAAGCTGCCCAAAGGTAAGTTTCAGTGGTTCTCATAATTGTGGGTAGAAAAATATACATTTTAAATTAAGTTATTCAGTATAAGTCTCTTGAACCCCTGTCACTTTTTCCTCTTTCTTTTCTCTCCTCTTTCTCTCATCCTCTATCAATTTTAATCTTACTCCTCCTACACTTTTTCCTTAATGCAAGAGAAGCAAAAAGATACCAATTAATTTAGGGCCAGGATTTCTATTTCAGAAAGGGTAGCAGTACCAAGCTTTTTTTAGAAGCAGTTTAATAAAAAACTTAGTTGTATTTAATATTGTGATCCTAGCGTGTTTGAATCTGCAGGCTTCCATGCTGGGAGAACACGTCTGCTCATGAGTGAGATACTAATTGAAACCATATGCAGCTGCTGCATCAGCTAGCTGATAGACATTACTCTAAAGCAGAGACCCATCCAAATTAAGGGGGGGGGAGAAGAGATTATGGATTAGCTTGGAACAATTTGGTGATTGCTATTTGTTTTCTATAATCTCACTTCTTTTATTACTCTGTACAGGTTTTTGCAAGACAAGTTTCCTCCCTTTACTGGAATTTGCTTATACCTCAGTGTTAACTTTTGACTTCTGTAGCATGGCAGAAGTTGCCATGCTAGCCCGGCATCTCTTCATGTCAGAGGTCTTGGAAATCTGTGAAAATGTGCACAAACAGATGGAAGACAAACAAATCACAGTGTACCAAAAGGGAGATATTCACACTGTAGAGTCTACACAGAGTTTACCGGAGCAGAATGCAGTTGAAACACAGCCTGTGGATAGTGTTGAACAGCCTTTACCTACAGAAGTGGTAAACAGTGAAGTAGTAGGAACTATGAATGGAGCATCTCCCAGTACTGGACAAGAGGAGGCAATAGCACTGCAGTCTGACCCTCAGACTTCAGAGCCTACAGGGGATATAACTGATAGTCTTTCAAAGCCTACAGTACAGTCTGTTTATAGTGAAACAACTGGAAATGAAATAAAAATAGAAATAGTACAGAGCATTGCAAATAACATTGTTTCTGTCATGCAATCTGAGCCTCCAGTGGCAGAGGACATGGAAACATGCTCTCCGACAGAAGTTGAGGCCGATCAAAATGAGAGCAGCACAGCAAATGCAGAAATCACTTCCGAAGAGTCTTTAGAAGCACTTAAGCAAAAACGTGGCAGGCCATGTAATGCAGAAGGAACTCCAGTGTCACAACCTGAGAGCATCGTCTGCAGCCAAGATGATACTTATAAAAGCAAACTTCGTCAGCGTTCTGTTAGTGAGGGTGGATATATCAGATTGCACAGGGGAATTGAGAAAAAGCTACAAAATAGGAAGACAAACCCCAAATCAGCAATACAGCAGGTATGAGAAATATCTTTGCTTAGTATCATAATCTAGTTTTCAGCGGAAGAAAATCTCCTTTGTTTTCAAAATAATGTAAAAAGACCACTTTCATTTCACTTCTAAGCAACACCTTGGACAGATAAATATTAATGTTAATACAACATTAGTACAGAAAAATAATCGCTAATACATGTGACAGATATTTGTGTGAAAACAACCAATATACAAATTTCTTGCAGTATGGTGATCTTAGTCAGCGTTTCTCAAATGCAGCCACCGGGTTGTTGTTTTTTTGCGGTCACAGCCTCCTGGGCAGTGATTGAGGGGGAGGGGGGCAAAGCATTCACCCCTTCCCTGGGGCCACCAGCAGGGGTTGGGCCCTGCCCCCCTCTGGAGCCACGAACACCAGAGGAGCGGGCAGAGAAGCGGGCAGCCAGTGTGAGTTTCCCCCCTTTCCCAGAAGCAATGGGGCTTGGGCTTTTGGCTTTAGCCCTGGGGCATTGGGCGGCAGGCTCTGGCCATGGGGCTTCGGGTTCCAGCCACGGGGCTTTGGGCTCCATCTCCGAGCCGTGGGGCTTCAGGCTCCGGCCCTGGGCTCACCCTCCACCCCCTATCGCCCATGGCCCCCTGCTGCCTCCCTACACACCTCTCCAGTGAGAGCTTAATTTGTCCCCTGGCTTGCCAGGGCTGAGTAAGTCTGCTGTGAAAAGCGATATTAACAAGCCTACAAATATCAGTTTTCACAGGAGCAGACTTACTAGCTAGCAAGTCTAAAAACAAAAGAAACAACAACAAAAAAGAGAAAAACGTTCAAAGCACCTTATTTTGTTTCTATTCTGTTTAGGTCCAGTAAAGAATAGAGACAATTGTACATTATTTTTATTATTGAGTCTGAAAAAAACCCATCATAAATAAATTACAATGATTTGGACATGGATATGTGTATATTTATTTGTTTTTCCCAAAGTTAATTAAGTGTTTTAGGAAAAATTGTCAGAGCAGCCACCAGCAAGAGTTGGTGGCTGCACTCTAAGGCCACCAAAAAATTTCTTGTGAGAATCCCTGTCTTAGATTTACTGTTGGTCCGGCACATAGATATTTTATATGCTAAAAATATTCAGCTCAGTTTGAGTAATTTTTTATGCCTTTTTATGCTATAATTGAAGATGTATGTGCTCCCCTAAAAGTTTCAAAACTGAGATTATTTTTAGATGGGGTGTGTATGTATGGGTGGGGAAACCCAGCTATTTAAATATATCTGACCATTTTACCAACAAGTCTCCAAATTTTGGAAGCTTGAAAATGAAGTATATTTTACGAAGTCTGAGACTGTTAGTTACATCACTGTATATAGTTCCTTAAATGTGGCCCTAAATCAGAGCATTGCCAACCTCACTATTAAGACTGCAGATTGAGACAATTCTATTTATAGATTACATAAGAATTTGATTGAAGAACATGTAAGGTTGCAAAGTTGAGCACTCATGTTAGGAAATGACAAAGTTAAGGTTGTTTGGGCAACCTAAATTCAGCCCCTTTGTGTGTATGTATTTTGATAGTCTTTAATTACATAGTCACATGCATTTTTTCCCCACAGGACCCACTGCCTCTCTTTAAGAGCACAGGATGGACAGCTTTCACCGAATTCAATATTTCTTTTAATAAAATTTGCATCCCAATATCTTATTTACTACACACCATCTAAATGCTGCATTGGATACAGAATTAATAATTTCCCTTGGGGCTCCTTTATAGAAGCTCTCACTTTAGTATCTAAGTGTTTCACAAACACTAATGAATTTATCTTCACATCTCTGTGAAGTGGTGGTATTATTCCCATATAACAGTTGAGGAACTAAGGCACAGAGGATAAAGCCTACACAATCAAAAGTGTCCCCTAATTTTGAATGCCTTGAGACACTTGGGGACTGATTTTTTTTTTTTTTTCTTTTCTTCAGACTTTTCAGTTTTCAAGTGTAGTTCCCACTTACTTCAGTTGCAATTGTGAGTGCTAAGCTCTTTTGCAAATCTGGCCCCATTTGTGTTAAGCACCCAGAAAATGAGACAGTGAAAACCTGACACATTGGATTTAAGTGACTTACCTAGCATCACATAGAAACTGTAGTAGAAGCAGGGATAGATTCCAGTTTTCCTGGGCAACATTCAGTTGCCTTAATCATAAGACCATCCTCTCTCTTCCTTCAGTCCCATGCCACGTTCACTATTCAACCCTTCCAACTTCTCAGGGCCGGCTCCAGGCACCAGCCCAGCAAGCAGGTGCCTGGGGCGGCCAAGGGGAAGGGGCAGCACGTCGGGCTCTTCAGCGGCAATTTGGCGGCGGGTCCCTCTTGGAGGGAAGCACCTGCCGCTGAATTCCCGCTGAAGAAGAAAGCGGCGCGGTGGAGCTGCTGCCAGAGTGCCGCCGATCACAATTGCGATCACGGCTTTTTTTTTTTTTTTTTTTTCCCCGCTGCTTGGGACGGCAGAAACCCTGGAGCCGGTCCTGCAACTTCTGCAACAAATGGGGAGTCATACAGACAACAGTTTCGTTCACTACACAGCTCTGATTCTCTTTCTGAGCAGTCCTGTGCACTGAATGAGACGGGTCTTGTGAAAAAAATAGTATGTGATCATGTAATTAATTAAATACTATCAAAAATGCATATGCACAAGGGGCCAACTTAAGATGGTATGTGCAACCTTAATTCTGGTATTTCCTAACTTGAGTGTTTTAATTTGCATCTTTTTAAACATACTTTTAATATAGACTTTTTTGTACATGAGTGCCTAAGTGTTTAAGAAGAGCAAACAAAAAAAAATTCCATCGGATGGAACCATAGTCTACCCCCACATGAGTCATCAATAGGATTGAAACCTTAAGATCCACAGCCCAGTCCTCTGCCACTTGAGCTAGTAGAATAACTGTGGTGGTAGCAGTAGGAGGTTGTTATCCTTGTGCAGCAGCCATACTTTGCTAGTGGGTTTCACAGATATTTACTGACAGCAGAGGAAATCTGCATTTTGGCAAATCTGCAACTAAAGTGTTCTTAAAATGAACAACATGTGCTGGGTCATCATCCAAGACTGCTATAACATGAAATAAATGGCAGAATGAAGGTAAAATAGAATAGGAGACACAATTCAGGAGTTCAGGACCCAAATTTAATTAACGCATTATTTTTTTAACGAGTGTCATCAGCATGGAAGTGTCCTCTGGAATGTTGGCCAAAGCAGAAGGGACATACGAATGTTTAGCATACCCGGCACGTAAATACCTTGCAACGCCGGCTACAAGAGTGCAATGCAAACACCTGTTCTCACTTTCAGGTGACATTGTAAATAAGAAATGGTCAGCATTATCTCCTGTAAATATAAATAAACTTGTTTGTCTTAGCAATTGGCTGAACAAGAGGTAGGACTGAGTGGACTTGTAGGGTCTAAAGTTTTACATTGTTTTTGAGTTATGTAACAAAAAAAATCTACATTTGTAAGTTCCACTTTCACGATAAAGAGATCTCATACAGGTACTGAAGTGCAGTGAATTGAAAAATACTATTTCATTTTTGCAGTGCAAATATTTGTAATAAAAATAATATAAAGTGAGCACTATACACTTTTTATTCTGTTTTGTTGTAATTGAAATCAATGTATTTGAAAATGTAGAAAAACTCCAAAATATTTAATAAATTTTAATTGATGTTCTATTGTCTAACAATGCAATTAAAACTGCGATTAATTGCAATTAATTTTTTTGTTAATCACATGAGTTAATGGTGATTAATTGACAGTACTAGTTTCTCCACCCACCTCGCTCCAGTTTGCTCTATCCTCACTACTCAAAATACATTTGTCATGGACTACAGACTGTCTTCGTACACCTGACCTACTGACTTGTGAACCATCACATAGCAGGCATAGACTCAACTTCTTCCATTCCACATGTCTCTTGCTGTCCAGAGATTATCAGCATATTGCCTTGCCATATTTTTAATTCATTCTGACCCTCTGACAGTCCATGCATCCACTATGGTCCAGCAGTTTATGCATTTGATTTTTTTAAAGTGCCTGTTCTATTATACTAGGCATTCTTAATAAGTATTAAACATATATTTCATATAACTATTTGTGAATCAAGCAATCTGTCCTCACCCAAAAACTAACCAGCTGAAAAACTTGTAGAGGTTCTACCTTTGTCACACTGCTCTTCTTCTCAAAAGCCGGAGACAATACATAGACTTGAATCACACTTTCTCTTAAGACACAGCCTGTGCAGGAGTTTCATTCCTGAGACTTGTCTACAGAATGTAATAGTCCCTGTTTAGCAATTGGTAGCTAGTATTTAGTGTAGCTTCACTGGGCTGACTCCTGAAGTATAGACATGGACATGAAGGGGTTTGCACCATTGAGATAACTGTGCTAATCTGCTTCAGGCTGAAATTGAACTGGGAGGATAGATGCTCTCAACCCTGGAATGTGCCCCATATTTAGGTAGGGATGTGGATTTGCACAGACAGCAAAGAGTTCAGGAAAAGAAACTGGAGCACAGTCTGTCCTGAGACAGTCTCTCAGCTAGTTTACTTGTTATACTTACCTAGACTTGATACTTTACTACTACTGGGAGGGTCAGAGTAAGAATAATTTCAGGGGCTGTCCTGTATATCTTACTATCTCTCAAACTGAGAGCTTTTCTTTAAGTGAATGGTAAAAATAAACTAGCCCATCTGGTTTAGCTGGCTGTATTTTTAGAAAAGGAAACAAAAAACTCTGAGAAGGGAACATGAGTGAAGAACATAATTTAGCTGACTCAGTCTGAAACAGAGGAGACGGTGGTCACTTGAAGAAGTGGAGGAAGCTGTGTTCTCTGTCACTTAGTTTTCCTAAAACAAAAGATCTGCGATTTGTAATAATCACTGCTTCAAAGCAGGCATATGCACTAAAAACTCAGATATTGATCCTTCAATCTATGCTACTAAGGTGGCATCCAGTTTATGGTAAAACATTGTTCTTAACATATGATCTGCAGTATCATTGTGGGTTCAATTTTCTTTTAAACGGTTACTAGAAACTTAGTGCAATTTGTTAACACTAAAGTAATTACTGACAATGTAATAATATCTAGCTCTTATATAGTAATATTAAAAGTAATATAGTAATGAAGGTTGATGCTTAAAAGCAAGCATAAGACAGAACATAGTACTTTTTATTAGAAACCATCATTGTTTTCCAATTAGGTTGCCATGAAGTTAGTGCAAAGAGGGAAGAAGATGAAGCAGCCCAAAAGAGAGACCACAGAAAACAATGAGGTGGAAGCTCAGATCAAATGCACTGAATGTGGGATGGTTTTTCAGAGGCGTTATTCGCTTATAATGCATACACTGAAACATGAAAGAACTAAAGATTACAAATGCCCGGTATGTCTGTCTTTTTAAATTTTTCAAAAATTCCTCTGAGTTGGTAATTGCTCTATGTGCTAACAGCAACCGTAACATTTATTTTTGTCTTATGGATTTAGAAAAGTCTGGAAGTGAATGTTATTGGGAACTGATCCAATGCAAAGCTGTTTCTGCCAGTAGTTGCCTCTGCCACTATTTTAATATTTACAACTAATAAATTAAGAACCTTACCTGAAAGTTGAGATGTAATGCATATTTATAGTTTCAATAGCCCCATTTATAGAGTAGTTAATCATATTACTGTGATTTCATGTTTATTTACAAATGTGAAGCTTTTATGCAAAGGTTTCTTAAAACAAGATAATTCAACAGTTTTGAAATAATTTAAGAAAATAATGTACATTATAGCTCCATGTATTTTCTTTCCTAGCTATGTAAAAAAGAGTTCCAGTATGGTGCCTCTCTACGTGCCCACCTTGTTCGACATACCCGAAAAAATGAAGTGAGCACTGCAACTGCTAGTATAGAAGAGACGGGAGCGTCAGTAGTGAAAGGCAGAACTAAGCGGGAGTTTATATGTGATATATGTGGAAGAACTCTACCCAAGCTCTACGCTCTCAGAATACATATGCTCAAACATACAGGTGTAAAGCCACATGCATGCAAGGTAAAGAAAATACATCCTTTCCTGATGTCTTAGAAATTTGTAATGACTTCTTGATTGACTAGTAACTACCCTGCACCGTACAACCTAGGTTAATCTTAATCATTTCACAGTGCTTGTGTGAAAAATAACTAATGTAAGAACTTTGATTTAAATATATTTTGGGATTGAAGGGGAATTAGAGGGAATATAATTTCCCAAACTGGAATTTGGCTGGAACACTAGAGTTAATGCTCCTTCTCCCAAGATGTCTTGGGATTTTTCATTACAAATGGTCAGGATCTCTGTTTTTATGATGTATCCAAAGATGACATCTCCAGCAGCATAATGCCCTGCAACCCCAGGCTCAGAAGTTGGTTCTGTGTTGATTCAAATGGAGGAGTGCCCATCCAGTGATTTACTAGCACTAGTCTTGGGTTTTCCTTTGTTCTCCTTTTGATATGCTAACCCAGCCTGACTGCTTAGATGGAACAGCATGCCATGTTACAAACATGTCATATGGTGTGATGGTGGTTTGAATGACAACTACCTCAATGTTCGATACTTATCTGGGAAAGTGGCCTTTGTCCAAATATGCCTATGGCTACCTCTGCAACAAGAAATAAGGCAAAATAACCAGAATGTTAAGGACAGAAAATTTTTTTGCAGTTTGTACAGTGCTTTCCTGCCGACACGAAGCCACAAGCGTGATCAGCTAGGTTTCCCAAGTAGCGTACTTTTTTTTACATTACATTTGAAGAGAAGGTAACATTTATGCTTTGAAAAAGCTATGATGAGATGCAATACTGTCTTTGTCTCAATGACTTGTAAATTTTAAGATTCATTTAATCTTGTATACTTTATCCAATTGAGTTTTTTCTTCATAGGTCTGTGGAAAGGCATTTACCTACAAGCATGGATTAAAAATGCACCTGGCTCTCCATGAGACACAGAAGCAATTCAAATGTGACTTGTGTGAAAAGTCTTTTGTCACAAAACGGAGTCTTCAGGAACATATGAGCATTCACACAGGTAAACAGTGGGCAAGAGTGGGAGTAATGAGAACCACGGTATGTTGATAAATACTTTGGGGAATATAAAAGTTAATCCATTAATTCTGTTGACTTCTATAGATAGGGTCATAAGAACATAAGAATGGCTATACTGGGTCAGACCAAGGGTCCATCCAGCCCAGCATCCTGGCTGCCGACAGTGGCCAATGCCAGGTGCCCCAGAGGGAGTGAACCCAACAGGCAATGATCAAGTGATCTCTCTCCTGCCATCCATCTCCACCCTCTGACAAACAGAGGCTAGGGACACCATTCTTTACCCATCCTGGCTAATAGCCATTAATGGACTTAACCTCCATGAATTTATCTAGTTCTCTTTTAAACCCTGTTATAGTCCTAGCCTTCACAACCTCCTCAGGCAAGGAGTTCCACAGGTTGACTGTATGCTGTGTGAAGAAGAACTTCCTTTTATTTGTTTTAAACCTGCTGCCCATTAATTTCATTTGGTGGCCCCTAGTTCTTATATTATGGGAACAAGTAAATAACTTTTCCTTATTCACTTTCTCCACACCACTCATGATTTTATATACCTCTATCATATCCCCCCTTAGTCTCCTCTTTTCCAAGCTGAAAAGTCCTAGCCTCTTTAATCTCTCCTCATATGGGACCCGTTCCAAACCCCTAATCATTTTAGTTGCCCTTCTCTGAACCTTTTCTAATGCCAGTATATCTTTTTTGAGATGAGACCACATCTGTACGCAGTATTCAAGATGTCGGTGTACTATGGATTTGTATAAGGGCAATAAGATATTCTCCATCTTATTCTCTACCCCTTTTTTAATGATTCCTAACATCCTGTTTGCTTTTTTGACTGCCGCTGCACACTGCGTGGACGTCTTCAGAGAACTATCCACGATGACTCCAAGATCTCTTTCCTGATTAGTTGTAGCCAAAGTAGCCCCCATCATATTGTATGTATAGTTGGGGTTATTTTTTCCAATGTGCATTACTTTACATTTATCCACATTAAATTTCATTTGTCATTTTGTTGCCCAATCACTTAGTTTTGTGAGATCTTTTTGAAGTTCTTCACAGTCTGCTTTGGTCTTAACTATCTTGAGCAATTTAGTATCCTCTGCAAACTTTGCCACTTCACTGTTTACCCCTTTTTCCAGATCATTTATGAATAAATTGAATAGGATTGGTCCTAGGACTGACCCTTGGGGAACACCACTAGTTACCCCTCTCCATTCTGAAAATTTACCATTTATTCCTACCCTTTGTTCCCTGTCTTTTAACCAGTTCTCAATCCATGAAAGGATCTTCCCTATTATCCCATGACAGCTTAATTTACGTAAGAGCCTTTGGTGAGGGACCTTGTCAAAGGCTTTCTGGAACTCTAAGTACACTATGTCCACTGGATCCCCCTTGTCCACATGTTTGTTGACCCCTTCAAAGAACTCTGATAGATTAGTAAGGCATGATTTCCCTTTACAGAAACCTGGTTGACTTTTGCCCAACAATTTATGTTCTTCTATGTGTCTGACAATTTTATTCTTTACTATTGTTTCAACTAATTTGCCCGGTACTGACGTTAGACTTACCGATCTGTAATTGCCGGGATCACCTTTTGAGCCCTTTTTAAATATTGACGTTACATTAGCTATCTTCCAGTCATTGGGTACAGAAGCTGATTTAAAGGACAGGTTACAAACCATAGTTAATAGTTCCGCAATTTCACATTTGAGTTCTTTCAGAACTCTTGGGTGAATGCCATCTGGTCCCGGTGACTTGTTACTGTTAAGTTTATCAATTAATTCTAAAACCTCTTCTAATTACACTTCAATCTGTGACAATTCCTCAGATTTGTCACCTACAAAGGACAGCTCATGTTTGGGAATCTCCCTAACATCCTCAGCCGGGAAGACTGAAGCAAAGACTTCATTTAGTTTCTCCGCAATGACTTTATTGTCTTTAAGCGCTCCTTTTGTATCTCGATCGTCCAGGGGCCACACTGGTTGTTTAGCAGGCTTCCTGCTTCTGATGTACTTAAAAAACATTTTATTACCTTTGGAGTTTTTGGCTAGCTGTTCTTCAAACTCCTTTTTGGCTTTTCTTATTACATTTTTACACTTAATTTGGAAGTGTTTATGCTCCTTTCTATTTACCTCACTAGGATTTGACTTCCACTTTTTAAAAGATGCCTTTTTATCTCTCACTGCTTCTTTTACATGGTTGTTAAGCCACGGTGGCTCTTTTTTAGTTCTTTTACTGTGTTTTTTAATTTGGGGTATACATTTAAGTTGGGCCTCTTTTATGGTGTCTTTGAAAAGTGTCCATGCAGCTTGCAGGGATTTCACTCCAAGGAATTTGTAAAAATGTTTTTATGTTCATTGGACACCCATTCAAGAAAGACGTTTACATTCATTTTAAATTTCTGTTTGGACTCTAAGACAGAATAATAAATCCACAGATTTATTATTTTATTTTTGATGCCCTCTTTACAGACATAGAATAAAACAGGTCCTTGCCTTGAACTACCCATCTAAATATAGGTAGACATGGTCAGTCCACTTTTTGTATTTATACCTGTAGCTTTTGCATATCAGAAATGGGTAAGTTTCTGGAAAGCCCGGGAAGAGGATGGAATAGGCTTTACACTTACTATTTATCCTTTTGAGGGAGAAAACTAAGTTGAATCTCCTGCCTCTTGGATTTCAAGCATCCTAGATTTAGATTTGTTGTAACTGTAAAAATGCTTTGTAGCTGCACTAATTAGGTTGCTATTTGTGTAGAAAGATGTTCTGTTTTTCTTAAATGCATTCATTTGATGTGATTCAGTGGCTTAATTGAAGTGTAAATTATTTTCTAGCACTTCACTCTTTAATCATTGTGATTTACACTAGTTTCCCCAATGTTCTGACACTGTTTCAGTCTGCATGTGACTTTATGCTTATGATCTGGGAGTTGCGTGGCTTTTCAAAAAAGCCATCTTCATTCCACTGGAGTTCTGAGGCTTTTGCCCCAATTTAAATGTTCTCTCCAGCCTCACTTCACAGGGAGCCGCCACGTTGCAATAGCCATCCCCTTAACCGAGGAATAGAGGACTTGTATAAGAACTTGTGAAATTAATGAGTTCTCAGATATAAGGAACTGATAGAAAGCTTGAGGGTGAAAAGAGAATGTGAGATATGACAGTATAATAGTTTAGTGTGAACTTTAGGTATTTTAAGGTAGCTTAATATATTGAAGTCCTGTGTATTTTATTTTCTGGAGTGTGATGTACACCTCTACCCCTATATAACGCTGTCCTCGGGAGCCAGAAAATCTTACCGCATTATAGGTGAAACCGTGTTATATCGAACTTGCTTTGATCCGCCGGAGTGCACAGCCCCGCCCCCCCGGAGCACTGCTTTACCGCGTTATATCTGAATTAGTGTTATATCGGGTCGCGTTATATCGGGGTAGAGGTGTATCAAGAATTGGATACAAAACATTGTTTTCCTTTACAATGCAGTTTTAAGTTCCAGAAAATAGAAGGGTTTCTACATACCCTCTTACAAATATCCTTTTGGCAGTCCAGTATTCAAGAACAGCCTTATAGGATCTGGAAATTTCCTGTTAAGGTAGCCTCCCATAGATCCAAGGTCTGATTTCTCTTCCCATGCCCCCCATTCATGTATGCTGAACAATTACTAAAGTTGCTGCAGATGCTGTGCTCTGACTGTTTGCAATCTATTTCTTCAGCAGTAAATTGTTTGTTTTTTTGTTTTTTAAGATTGTTCAGAGTTAAGATAAGAACAAATTATAATTAAAGACTATGAGATTTTTGTCTGAACTTTTTAAGTAACTTATGATACAGTAGTTTAAAGTTGCTACTCAGATTCTTCTTCAAATATATACAGCAATATTATCTAAGATTATACCAGCATGTACAGAATATTCTTGAAAATTCCAACTAGATTCCAAGTGTATATAATTAAACTTCCCTCTTCCTGTAGTAATAAAGCTCTGAGTACTTCAGATGAATTCTGTAAAAATTATATACTTCCTTTAACGCACTGCAGGGAGTTGGGGCTCAGATGGGAGACCTGGCCTTGTAAAGTATTTTTGTTGTTGTTGTTCTGTTTATAGGAGAATCCAAGTATCTTTGCTCCATTTGTGGGAAGTCTTTTCATAGAGCCTCAGGACTTAGTAAGCACATAAAGAAACACCAGCCAAAGCCTGAAATTCGTGGATATCAGTGTACTCAGTGAGTATAAATTGACCTTTAAGTCACTGGGATTATTAAAGACAGTTTCACTTGTCTCTCATGCTATAGTTGGTCACATGGAATTATTTAGAATAAAATATGTTAAACACTGGGGTGAAAAATGCACTTGTGAAGTTCATATAAGGACAAATGCAAAGTACTCCTCTTAGGAAGGAATAATCAGTTTGCACACATGCAAAATGGGAAATGACTGTCTAGGAAGGAACACTGCAGAAAGGTGTCTGGGGTCATAATAGATCACAAGCTAAATATGAGTAAACAGTGTACCACTGTTGCAAAAAAAGCAAACATCATTCTGGGATGTAGTAACAGGAGTGTTGTAAGTAAGGCAGGAGAAGAAGGGGGGAGGGATAGCTCAGTGGTTTGAGCATTGGCCTGCTAAATCCAGGGTTGTCAGTTCAATCCTTGAGGGGGCCACTTAGGGATCTGGGGCAAAATCAGTACTTGGTCCTGCTAGTGAAGGCAGGGGGCTGGACTCAATGACCTTTCAATGTCCCTTCCAGTTCTAGGAGATAGGATATCTCCATTCATTTTTTTTTTTTTTTTTACTCTGCACCGATAATGCCTCTACTGGAGTATTGTGTCCATTTCTGGGAGCTGGGCGCCCATGGCCAGCAGCTAGGGGCCGGGAGCACGTGGTTGGGGCCCAAGCTGGGGGCAGGGTTGGAGCAGAGCTGGGGGCAGAGCGGGGCTGGATGGCGCTCCCTCTCTGCTCTGCGCTGGGGCTGGCCCGGGCCCTGCTGTGATCCCCTAGTGGAGTGTCCCCCACAGTTCGGGGACCGCTGACATAAAAGTTACAAGGGAGAGAGAGAAAAAATGTTCTCTTTAACCTCTGAGGATAAGACAAGAAGCAATGAGCTAAAATTGCAGAAAGGGCAGTTTAGGTTGGACATTAGGAAAAACTTCCTAACTCTCATATTGGTTATGCACTGAAATAAATTGTCTAGGTAGGTTGTGGAATCTCCATTACTGGAGATTTTTAAGAGCAGGTTAGACAAATGCTTGCCAGGGGTGGTCTAGATAATACTTAGTTCTGCCACGAGGTCCCTTCCAGTCCTATGATTCTATATATTGGAGATGAAAGGCTTGATTAATATTACCTTGATCATGCTTGTCCCCACCCCAGATTCGATTTAGATAAGGTTGTTTGGGGTTTTTGTTTTTTTGTTTTTCCCCCCATGGGTGTGTTACACTTTTCTCTAACAGTTTCAAAAGCAGTTTTAAAACTGTATTGGGTAGAGCTGGGAGAGTGGTAAGCTCTTCAGCAATGAAGGGTCTTCTGCCTGCTTCTGGTCTCATTTTACTATGTAACTAATCTCAGTTAAATTGGCACATGATTTTACATAATGTAGAATAATAGTATACATGGCAATAGCCTCATACAGTACTGAGTACACTGTGCTTAGCATATAGTCAACAATTATAATGATTAAATGGAAAAACATTTCATTAACTCAAATTTAAGGCTGCCTGGTGATAGTTTGTGTCTTTCCTGAACGTTGAGTTCAGCAAAACAGAAATTTCCAAAAGAGTTAAGGTAAACACCTATGTAACCTTAACTCTTCCTCCTTGAACTTGCAATAACTACTGGGAATGATCTGTATGCATTCCAACTTCATTCTCTGTGTTATGTGTAGGTGTATTGAATGGTGGAGGAATAAGTTGGAATGGCTTGCAAGATCTGTGATTGTGATGTGAGGAGATCTTGGGATTAGTTTGAGGAGCATTCTAGAGCTATGATTGTAATCTGAGTAGATATGGGTCTGAGTCCCCTCAACACCCCCTCTCCATGTGTGTTGTCAAAGGAAGGAGGTGCCTGTGTATCTTGAGGTTCCAATGTGCATCATTTCAATACAGAATTGTGTAGACTATGTCAGTAGTAGGGCACTGAGGTCTTCATGCCATGGATATTGTCAGTAGTGAGGTGGGATCTGAGAGTAGCCTGTGGATTTAATGATGTGTAGGGAAAAGTATATGTTTAGATATCTTGTGTACAAGTGTGAAGGGGTTATAAAAGGGTATGAAGTGGTTATTAAATTTTATAAGCGTGGTATTCTCTCGGGGGGGGGGGAGGAGTAAGCTCAGTGTTTGAGCGTACAGCAAGTGCAGGTAGTGCCTGTCCATTACAATGAAAAGGCAGGGTGGGAGTATGTGTGTTATGGATGTTTACCTTAACTCTGAATTTCCTGGGTTTCAGACATTTCAGTTTTACTGAGCTCAATATTCTGGCACGACATGAGCTATCACTGGGCAACCATAACTCTGCATTAACAGTTTTTTGCCATTTAATTTTCTAGGTTTTTAAACAAAGACGAATATTTGTTAGTAGGAGTTAGTGTTCATTTAGACTGTTCTAGTTCTCACTAGATTTGATATGCTACTTTGGCTAGATAATAGTCAAAAGACTTAGCTTGTATATAGTGCTTTTCATCAGTTGATCTCAAATAATTTTTATATCAGTAGCCCCATTTTACAGATAGGAAACCGAGTCTCAGAGGGGTGAAGTTATTTATCCAAGGTCATCCAGGAGGCTAGTGGCAGAGCTAGGAATAGTCCCAGCCCAGTGGTCTTTCCATTAAGTCTCACGGTTGCTGTGGGATTTGTCAGTGCTCCTCCCCCCTTGTACATTTTGTTATAGTGGAGTGGGGATAATTGTCGCTTTGAAATGTTTGCAGTGAAGAAGAGCTCGGTATAACCCCAAAAGCTTATGTCTCTCACAAACAGAAGTAGGTCCAATGAAAGATATTTCCTCGCACACCTTGTGTCTCTAGCTGCTAACAAGGCTCATGAGAGAAATCTCATCCATGGTCTGTGACCCAGATCCTTGACAGTTTTATTACATGGTAGCTACAGTAACTTTAAGCATGTGAAAGAAAACTGGGGTGTGTGTGTGTGTCCTTGTCCACCCAGTTTCCATCCCATTAAGCCATTAGTTGGCACTGTAGAAGCCATAAACATGTAAGAAGTTGCTCTATATTATATCCTGCCCTATGTTGCTGTGTACACATATCACAGGCAGCAGTTTACTGGAGGACCATACGCTACCTTGGTTACGTATCCCGAGCTGCACACTGAACTGGGCTCTTCACTACCACTATTCACCCCCAGCTGGTGTTTAAATTTGTTACCTTCATTCCCTTCACCCCAGATCCCTGCCCACATGAAAGGGCAGGAAAGAGGCCAGATCCCTGCAGAGGTCCCAGCACATACACAGAAGGGGATAATTCAGAGCTGACAGGTGCCTCCCGGCCCTTGCAGCCACAACTTCCTTTGCTACCCTTGCATAGCTGAGAGTTGCATTGACCTAACTTGGAAATAGTTAAATGCAATCACTTGAAAAATACCGTTCCCTTAATACATTTAGGTTCACAGGTATATTTAAATTCCTGGTGCGTTAGAACAAACAATTGAAAATCTCCCCCAAACAAAAAGATTTTGTTTTGAGGAGATTCTTTCAAATTTATTTTCAAAAGCACAAATGACAATTGGCACCTAATTGCAGTTTATGCCTTTGAAAATCTTCCCTTTATTATATACACATGCAAAATTATTTACTACTTACATTGCAGATATGGTTTTAATGAGAATTAATATGTATTTGTAACACTTTTTGAAAAGTGTCTAACGTTGTGCTATCATTGTATATTAATAAGCATATAAGTTTTTCCTAACTGTAGACAAGAACTCACTTTAACTCCATGGCATTTTATTGGTTTTTTAATAGCTTGTAACATTGACAAAAATTGATTTTTTTTTTCCTTTGGGTTTCCAAAGGGGGACTATACATTGACTAATTAAATATATTGGAGGGGAGAAAATAAATATTTTTGGAGGGGAAATAATTGAAACCAGTTTACATTCTCTCAGCCATGACTATACTGCACTATCTAGATTAGGTGATTGAGAAACATGTAGATGTACCAATTCTGAAGGACTTGGGATAACGCTTCGTCCTCCACAATGAAGACCTCTACTAAGTGTGTGTGAGGGGATGGTATAATTCATGTTTGTCATAAAAGAATTGATCTTGACCAACTAAAGCTGACAGTCGTCAGCATTTTGTCTCAAACTTCTGTTCTTCTCTGGCTCTGTAGCTCGGCTCAGTTCCTCAGATCTCCATCCAGCCTCTCTTCTGAGCTTTTGTCTTAGTCAGGCAAACCTTTACACATCTGGGGATCCTCTCTGGTACACCCTAGGAGGTTTGCCAGATGAAGAAGGCACCTTCTCCCTAGAAGATCGTCTTCTCTGACAACTTTGCCTAAGAGCTTCTCTCTTTTCTATATATTCCCTGTTGTTAAGTGACTTGGATAATGGGGCATTATGTCAAGTAGAGGAGGAGGCTTTCTGGCAAAGATGCCTGAGAAGCAGAGTTTATTGATCCGCTGTAGAAGAAGCACCTTCTTGATCATGCATATTCCTGTGGCTTGCTAAAGAGGAGCTGGTGAACTGTGGCCTCCCATGGAGCTGTTATGGGAGGGCATGGATGTGGGGAGGGATTAGGGAAATTTGGGTTGAGGGATTGGCGGGGGGAGTGTCTTTGAGAAGCAGAGCTAGCAGTTGTGTTGAATGTGCTTGAGCAATCTGAACAGTAAAGCAATTTAATGTCTGCTTTCCGAGTTAATCCTTCATGGTTCCAGAAAAAGAGATGCCAGTTCCTTCATAAGCATAGCTCTTCTAGCTTATAGAACAACACTTTGTGTACTGTAACTTGTGATGTCCTAACTCTCCATAACTCTTTTTTTGGGTACTGGATAGGAGTTGTACAAACTTTTTCCCCTATAACAGAGCAATTAAAGGAAATCAGCTTTCCATAACCGATAAAGGGAAAATATGCCTGAAGCCCATAATATAAATTTCAGATCTTTAAATTAGCTGCTGTTCCTTTTAATCTCCCTTAGTGTAGAAGAGGATTACATAGCTAATATAATTGTTGATACTGTAAACCTTGTCTACTTCATGAAGTCTTCCAGTCTTTTAAAATTACCAATATATACTGGGCTTTAGGCAACAGTTTTTTTGTGCCATTGAAATCATGGTCCAGGATCCTCATTTTTGAACAATCCTCCCTCCATAGTTATCTTCATCTCATTATGATCCTGTCTTATGTGGGAGTCTGAAACCTTTATTGTTACAGATGTGAAAAAAGTTTCTATGAAGCTCGGGATCTCCGGCAGCACATGAACAAGCATCTTGGTGTGAAGCCGTTCCAGTGTGAGTTCTGTGGGAAGTGTTACAGTTGGAAGAAAGATTGGTATTCCCATGTGAAGTCCCATTCTGTCACAGATCCTTACAGGTGAGTGAGAGTCAGTTCACAACTAATGTAAGCTGAGCACACTAAGGTGTTGCAGACCCACAGCTCTAATTAGACCAATGAGGATCTGTTTCCGAATGACATTGCCAAGAGCTATCCATAGGTACAGGGACGTAGCTTTCAGCAACAGATATAAAAGAATAACTACATATGATGATCTCAATTGAAGAAGAGGATCTTGAATGTTTATGGATCAGTGTCCTAACAGATAAAGCACAAGATGGAATGCTAGTTGGTGTCTACTACAGACCACCAAATCACACTAGAGAAAAGGATAACTGGCTCCTTAATATATAGGGGGGGAAAAGCTGCATGATCTTGGGGGACTTCAATCTGAGTGACATGCTGGAGCTCCTAGGCTGCCAGTAGTAAAAAGTCTTTGGAATTTCTAAAACTGGTAAAGGACAATTTCCCAATTCAGCAAATGTTGCTTCCAACATGGGGGGGAATTCTATATTAGACCTCATCTTGATAGATAAAGGTATTGATCACACAACTGAAAATTAGTGGTTGCTGCATGATACAAGTGATCATGACTTGATTACATTTGTTGTGTGCAAACAGAATGAAGTGCAAGCCAGTAATACACACACACACAAACATACACTTGGTGCTTTAAAAGAGCTAATTTCATAAAGCTGAAAACAATTATGAGTCAAATTAGCCAGGAGAGAGTGTGTTTGCCCCAAAAACAACAATCCCGGAATTCACAGAGAGAGGTTAGTTGGCTTAAAAAAAACAGTGTGGCTTAGAGGGGAAGTGAAAGCAGATCGCGCTCTCTCACTCTCTCTTGTGTAAGAAAGCTAGCTTTCTCTCTCAGTTGCGGAATTGTTTCTTTTTAGCAAAATTCCTTTCCCCAGCTGATTTGACTTATTGTTTATCAGCTTTGTGAAAATGGTACTTTTAAAGCAGTGTGTGTGTGTGTGTGTGTGTGTGTGTGTGTGTGTGTGTGTGTGTGTTACTGGCTTAACTTTATTCTGTTTATTCTGTTTGCATACAACAAATGTAGTCAAGTCATGATCATTTGTGTCACTAAGCAATCATTAAATTTCAGTTGTGTGATCAATATATATGCGGGGGGGCGGGAGCGGGACGCTTGGAAAGATTAAATGTAGTGACACATATCTGGTTTCACTTCCCCTCTAAGACATTTACTGATTTTAAAAAAAGTAATCCTTCCAAGTCTAAATATAAATTAGAAGCAATCAACTTCTCCTTTTTTCTGTTGATTTTGTGTGTTGTGTCTCTCTCTCTCGTTGAATGATTACATTTTTATCGGTATATGTTGGTAAATGTTAATTTCGCTGTACACACAAAAAACTGACAAAAATATTTCTATTGATGGTAATCAAAATGTACAGATAGGCGAAGTAAGAAAAATGCTGCTTGAGATCTTACTAGAGTCAAAATTCAGTGATTTAGACTTTTGAATTAGACTTGTGACGGACTAGTGAATTAATAGTATAAACAGGTGTGATTTGGAGTTTAAGGACATTTACAGTCAACATGACAGGTCAAAATATACAGTTTGTGTTTTAATGGTTTGTAAAGCTTTAATTGTCTGACCACCCTCCAATAATTTCCCGCAACTGTGAACATTTAAATAGATAAAAATCTAAAATAATGCTTAAAAATAAACATCAATATCTGTTGAAATTCTGGAAAAAAGTCAAATTCTGCAAAGCCTATTTATATTGCTAGAAACTGTAGAAAATTGATAAGAGAAGCAAAAAGTCACAAGGAAAACTCAATAACCAGCAAAATTAAGGACAATAAGGAGTTTTTTAAATAGGTGAGGAACAAAAGGAATCCTAACAATGGTATTGGTCCATTGCTAGACAGAAATAGTACAATTTTCAATAATAATGCAGAAAAGGCAGTGTTCAATAAATATCTTGTGTGTTTGGGAAAAGGTCAGATGATTTCATAATCAAAAATCACAGGAGAGTGGTATAATGCCAATCAAAATGGATTTATGGAAAATAGATCCTGTCAAACTAACTTCATCTTTTTCTGATGGGATTAGATTCTAAGGCCAGAAGAGACCATTGTGATCATCTAGTCTGACCTGCATAACACAGGCCATAGAACTACTCCAGAATAATACATGTTCTTGAAAAAATCCACTTTTGATTTAGAAATCCACCACAACCTTTGGCAAATTGTTCCGATTGTTGATTACCCTCACTATTAAAAATGTATGCCTTATTTCCAGTGAGAAATTGTCTAGCTTCAGCTTCCAACCACTGGACCTTGTTATACCTTTCTCTCCTAGATTGAAGAGCTTGTTATCAAATATTTACTCCCATGTTAAGAACTTGTAGACTGTGTTCAAGTCACCCCTTAACCTTCACTTTGTTAAGCTAAATAGAACAAGCTCCTCGAGTCTGTGGCCTGGTCTACATTTAAAAATTAGATCAACGAAGTTGTGTTGCTCAGGGCTGTCGAAAAATTTTTTCCCTGAGCACAGTAGTTAGGTTGACCTAACCCCCACTGTCAACCTAGCTACCACATCTTGGAGAGGTGTATTAACTACATTGATAGAAACACCCTTTCTGTCAGTGTAGAAGTATCTGCACTACAGCGGCATAGCTGCAGCTTTTCTGCTATAGCGCTTGTAGTGTAAATGTAGCCTATCACTATACGGCATGCTGTCTAATCCTTTAATCGTTCTCGTGGCTCTTCCAATCCCTTTCCAATTTATCAACATCCTTCTTGAATTGTGGACAACAGAACTGGAGACAGTATTCCAGCAGCAGTCACACCAGTAACAAATACAGAGGTAAAATAACCTCTTTATTCCTACAAGTTTTGATTTATGAAGATACTAATGTTGATGTAATATACTTAAACTTCTGTAAGGAATTTGGCATAGTGCTGCACAATATTTTGATTAAGAAACTAGAACTATACAAAATTAACATGGCACACATTAAATGTGCTAACTGATATGTCTCAAAATGTAATTGTAAATGGGAAATGATCATCGAGCAGATGTTTGCAAACAACACAGATTCAGAGAGCGGTAAGTAATGAAGAGGATGGATCACTGAAACAGATGGATTTGGAACTACATCCAGTTCCCTTCAGTATCTTCAGGGAAAACTGAAGGCTGATAAAGTTCCCCATGGAATGCTTTCAGGAAACAAAATGGGGATACATCAGAATTACTGGGCATCACTAGCATACACTTCAGGATCCTGAGCCCCATCTGTTCATCAGTAAACTTTGTTTAGGTTTTTATAAAAGATGCCTCACATGGTTAGCATTTTAGTCCATGTCCATTAGGCCTTTCCTGTGGGTGGCAAATTAATAATTGTACATGGAGGAGTTATGGTTATGTTCATTGGTTGAATACTTGCATTTCTTAAAACATATTTTCCCCTAATGTGAAAATAGCACAAACTAGGTCACTAAGGCCAGAAGCAAACTTATTAGTACAAAGAATATATGCTATACTATGTCAAAATATTTTCTTTGCATTAATAATGTACAAATAAAAGTGTTTGACTTAGCCAGTACTTCCAAATTCAAATATCATCTAGAAAATAGCATTGAGAGGATCCTGTAGGCTATTCCCTAAAGTGAATGAGGGAAGATGGGTAATACAACAAACTTAGTTACTTGGGGTACCTTACTTCTGCCCTCACACCTCCATCATTTTCCACATATGCCTGCATATTATGCATCCTCCAAGATAACAATATGAGCTACAAGTATTAATGCATGTGAAACTTTAGGGGGATTAGTATATCTTGGGCACAGTTAGAAAAGTTTGGTTATTAATCTGTGTGGTTTTGCTAATGTGGAACGGTGAGTGGAAGCTTGCGTCCAGGATTAAGAAAGCATGTGGGTGTAGTCTCATGGCACAATAATATTTTAAAATCTGAAACCATTTCTCTTACATTGGAGCATCAAAATCTAACATCTTTAATTATAAAACTGGCATCCCTTTAAACTTCCCCTGTTTGAGTTAAAAGGCATTTTAAAAGCTTAACCTAAAGTAGGCATGGGATAATGGTTTCAAGCATGTTTTCTGTATCTAACAAGTATTCTTTTCACATTTTAGATGTAATGTGTGTGGCAAAGAATTCTACGAGAAAGCTTTGTATAGAAGACATGTAAAGAAAGCCACTCATGGGAAGAAAGGGAGAGCAAAGCAAAATCTGGAACGTGTGTGTGAGCACTGTGGAAGAAAATTCACCCAACTGCGAGAATACAGACGCCACATGAATAATCATGAGGGTACGCAGAAAATAAGTGTTTGTATCCTTTCTGTAAAACTACTAGTATTTTAACAAATAATATGTTTTAGGTCCCCATGAGTGGGGAGCCACAGGGAAGTAGTTATGGATCATCAAGTCAACAGAAAGTAGATTTACACTCATCCTGTTGTTTAACATGTTTCTAGAGACTTCCAAAAGTAGACAGAATCTTTCTAAAACCTTATAGCACCGGTCATGCAAATGGTCACAAAAGGTGTATTCTCAGTACTCTGAAGGGTTGTAATAAAAACACATTTTCAGGAGTTTCTGTGAGACTACGTTAAAGTTTTGTGTGTGGGGAATTAATATTGTGTAAAAATTATAAAAAAATATTCAACTTCTAAATATTTTATCTCACCTCTTTCCCCCACCCCCCCCCCAAAAAAAAAAAAAAAAAAAAGAGCGAGAGAGCAAGAGTGTGAGTGATTGGTTTCAAACACTTGGAAACAATATTTTTAAGAGTTTATTTTTTTTCGACTGAAATTTGTCAGTTCATTAGTTTACAGTGGAGACTAAAACCTTTAAGCATTTGGGGACAATATGAACAGGACGGGTGTAATTAAAAAGTTTCCAATATATGCATAAGCATTTCATAAGGAAGCTCAGCATGTGACTTGGAATAATTGAATAGTCTGACTATGTACTTCTACACACAAGTTGCTATATTGTGGCAAAAATCACTTTTTCTAAACATCTGACCATAAAGAACTGTTAATAATAAGTCTAAAATCTCATTCACTGCTGGGGTAGAAATTTAAGTGTTTACATTAAAAAAAGAAGCAACTATAATGTCCCATAATTTTCTGCCATAAATCTGTAGCAGCGGTAATATAGGAAGTTAGCGCTGAGATTGTTTCTTTTGTACGTCAGTGCAAATAGCGATCATACATACATTATATATAATTGTGTGTGTGTGTGTGTGTGTATATATCATTTATAATTGTGTATATATAATAATAATTTTGCTATACACAGTCTGGAGGAAGAAATTATTTGTGGCCAATATCAAACTAGGGATTTCAGGCTCAGTGGAAGATGGACACACAACTGTGCAGAAATTAACAAAAATCAGTGGAGTAGGATTTGGGTTAGCAAGATGCCAGGCAGTACATTTGGAGGAGAGATGGTACCAAACGGAAAGGCAGAATGGGAGACATGGATGTAACAGTGAGACTCTGTGCCTCAGGCACTCCTAAGGCTACACACACAATATGGAGATATCCTCCATATAAGTGCCCATGTAAAGTTTCAGGGCTTTTTCTATGCCTGCACAGATCCCCATTAACTGTCTGTTGCATCTCTATGAATAGCGATTGTAGTCTCTCCAGACCCATTTCATTACCTTTGATACCTCTCTACTAGTTAACCCAACCTGGTACTTCTACCTCACAGATTTAAATGAAAATTATAGTTAGACGAAATATGGTTTTAAGAAATAGAAGCACTATAAACACAGAGAGAAGCTTTAAAACCTGATCTGGTGGCATTTCAGAATGATATATAATGGCATGAAATAAAAAGAAACTTTGTAACTATATCAGAAAACATTTTCTGAAATCAAATAACTTGGTTAGGAGATGGTTTGTTGGAGATGATCAAAAGCAGACTAGAAGCAAGATCCTTTTAAGGGAAAATCCTGTCCAGCGATGGAATAGTTTAGATGGGCCACAAGGTTTTTGTCAAGCCTCTCCTCTTCTGATGTTCTGTAACTTACAGGCAAAGCACAATTTAGTAATGATTATGTTGTAACTCTTGACCTCTATCTATGAGGTTCAGCTGTACTTCTAGGATGGGATTTCCTAACCCACTCAGCATTGGCCTTCAAAGAACAAGGCCATGCTGAGTACTTGTGAAAATAGCCCCTGTAATGTATTATTCATTTGTATTACAATAGGACCCAAAGGCCCCAGTGCACTACAAACATATAGTAGGAGGCTCTTCCCTCCAAGAGCTCAGTCTGGATTAACGTATCTGATAGAGTTGTGTATCCTTCCCTCTAGTAGACTCTTGCTCTGGGCTGAGGGGTTTTGCAGCAGTCTTCAAATATTATATAATGCACTCAACATTTGTAAATAAGATTTTATTCACGTCTCTTTTGCTCTGTGATATGCGAATAGCAATTGTACCTCATGGTTACCTATGAGAACAGTGGTTTTCAACCTTTTTTCATTGGCGGACGCCTAAAAAATTTCAAATGGAGGTGCGGACCCCTTTGGAAATCTTAGGAATAGTCTGTGGACTCTTAGGGGTCCACGGACTATAGGTTGAAAGCCACTGTTCTATAGTAACAACAACCTTTCGCTGACTCCTTAGACATAGTCTGTGGACCCCCAGGAGTCCGCCGACCACAGTTTGAAAACCACTGTATTAGAATGTTATCTTTTGTGCCTGGAATTTCTCATACTCATTTACACAGATTTACAAAAACTAATAATCTTCCTTCTCTTGTTTTGGTGATCAGGTGTTAAGCCTTTTGAATGTCTGACTTGCGGAGTAGCCTGGGCTGATGCACGTTCCTTGAAGCGTCATGTGAGGACACATACTGGAGAACGACCATATGTCTGTCCAGTATGCAATGAAGCTTACATAGATGCCCGGACGCTACGGAAGCATATGACCAAGTTCCACAGGGATTATGTACCTTGCAAAATTATGCTGGAAAAGGACACCCTTCAGTTTCATAACCAGGGGACGCAGGTGGAACATGCCATCAGTATTTTAACAGCAGACATGCAAGAACAAGAAGCAGAGATTAGCATTGGCAGTGAGGAGATTGAGACTGTGGTAGTAACAGGAGAAACAATTGAAGCTGTTGCAGCTACTGAGGAATGTACATCAGTATCCACTCTTTCTGACCAAAGCATCATGCAGGTGGTGAATTACGTATTGGCACAACAGCAAGGACAGAAAACAGCTGAAGTTACACCAGCCATTGAAACTGTAAAAGTAGAAGTGGCCCACATTTCAGAAACAGAGTGAACACCATCTCTAACAGAGAGCAAGAAGAGTGTAGTATTGTCATGTAACAAGCTAAGTATTAACTGTGAGTATTTGAGGCTTACAGTAATACTGACTTTGATACTGAATCTCCTGTATTGAGTTTCTTGGCTGCAGAATGATATCGCACAATGCACTGGTTTAAAAAAAAAAAAAAAAGGTAAAAGTGCAGATACTTCAGTACTGAGCAAGAGTTTGGAAGACTGATTTCTGCATCAGTCATAATCAATTAGTACAGAAAAGTCTAAAAATAAAATATTTCCTGTGTAATGGCAGTAAGTATCATGTTGGAAATTTTTTTATGAACTTTTACAAAGAAGCTGTGCTAGAATTGTACAGCTGTTTCAGTAGAATTTTGCCTTTGTTTTAATATGTATTTCATCAGGGTCAGTGAATGAAGTTTAAGTGATGGGTTCTGTCCTCTTTTCTTTCACTCCCCAAATCAGGGGATGTTGGACTGCTGTGGAGTGTGTATTGCCTTGTGAGGGGCTGGAAACCTGTGGTATGGGGTCTTTTGCCTTTAGGTAGATGTGCTAATTGTGTATAAATCTACAAAGTGTGCTCCAGAAATTTTGCAAAATTAGCTTAAACTCCTCAGGACTGTGTGGCAGGTCAGTACACTTAAGGATTCTGCAAACCGATGTAAAATGATTTGCATAACCATGTAACTGTAACCAAATTTACTCTGTGAGGTCCATTGGAATCTGGGGGGGAAATTCTGTCACTGGCGAGCAGTTACTTCCATAAGTACAATGGGATCAATAGGGCTACTCAAATAAGTAACTGCTCTTCAGTGTGAATAAGGGGTTTAGTCTGGCCCTATATGTGCAACCCTGTTTAATTTATTTTGCTAATTGTTCAATTGTGTAAACAAAGTTTTACACTGCTTCGTTGTACTTACCCAAGGCAGGCAAACTAATGATGGATGTAGAACTCTTCTAATTTTATATTAAATTTATGTGGAAATTTCCACATGAAAAAAGTTAAGTGTAATTGGGTGCAGTTCTTTGGGAATGGGACACTGTAGAAATCATCTGGTTTTCCAATTACTGTATCATGGAGAATTGTTATTGAGAAGCGGGGATGGTGGGAGTTGTTAATTCCAAAAGGGACAGACAGTAGCATTAGGATTGAATAATATGAATGTCATAATATCATGTTAAAAACTAAATTTGTGATAAATATGCTGGAAATCTCCAAAGGCTTATTACACCACAGCTACATGAAAACACGTGTAAGGCAGGCTGTTAACCCTGTTGCATCTCCTCATCTTTGTGGAAGAACTTTCAGTCTCTGTAGGTTAATGTGTTAAAATAAAATGAAGTGGAAATATTTGTTCTAATATTAAAGAAATCCTATGCAATGAAGTTGCTAGTATCTTTTTCAGTGAATATATAATTCCCCTGGCTTTTGCTGGAAGCAGAAGCTCTGTCTCTGTCTCTCCCAGCCCTGCCAATCTCTCATACTTGATAAAATCATTGTATCATGGCCATTCTGTTGTGCATGTATTGAGAGACCTGCCAATCCACTTTCATGTGTATTAAAACAACATATATGTTTGGCATATTTGTAATTCATTATCTTTCAGTAAGATACAGCTCCAGATTGAAGGCAACAGACCTATAGCAATGAATGAGAGAGACAGTGGCATCGAATCCTATATGCACAACAGGTGAAAAATGAACGACTTAAGCACGTACGTACATGAGGATAGCTGAGACCACCTTTGAATTAGTATCCTTACATTAGTTTCAGCCTTTGTGGTGATATAATCTACTCTCATTCTGTAATATGCACACTGAGAGTGTTTAGTTCAGGGACTAAAACAGAAGATATAGATGTAGTTTTGAGTTCATGTTCTGAAATGATATAGCATAAAAGCTTGTACTGCAAAAGTATTCAACGGGGGTAAGACCACTGGTCCCTGCTAGATAAACTTAACAAATTTGGTTATATTACAATTTTCTTGTGCAGCCTGTGAAACTGGCTTGCCTTACACGTTAACAAAATATGGGGCAAAATCCCTGACAAGGTGTCTAACTCATTTGAATTAACATTTCTGTAATGTTCCATCACTTAGCTGAAATATCTCAATTTAGTAGGCTGTAAAACAAACCACTTCTGTGTATTTTGCATGCATGTAGATAAGCTGTTGAAAATCTTACTTTTTAAAAAGCAATAACTAATGCAATTACATTGAGTTACTGCCTTGGGTCTGAACTGAGCTGTAGGTTACTGTATTCCAAAGATCAAAATGTCTTCTGTGAGAACCAAACATGATGGTGATTTCATATTATTCACATATACCTTGTAACCTCTTATAATTGTGCTAGTCTCTAAATATTGCAATGGAGTAAAATTGCACAAAACATACACTTGAAAAAATAGTGCTAGCTGTTTTTTCCTGAACACTTGTATACCCGAAAACATTATGGACAAGCACCCTGGAAAGATCAGTCCATCATAATATAAACTAAAAACAGAGGTAAGTGTAACAGTTCTTATAGCCATTATAATGTGAAAAGATTTTAATAGATTGTTAGATAAATTTCCAAATTTTCTGAGTACTAGTAATTTATGCGTAAGTATATATTGATAAAGTTGTGAGGAAACATGTTCAGGATAACTATTTGTAAATATTGTTTAGAACTTCAATTGTATATTCAGTGTACTACCTTACAACACAATACTTGTTAGCATCTTAATTAATCCTTGGGCACTTTTATTTATCCATTCCTCTGGAGACAAAGGAGTCAGTTGAATTTAAAAGAAAAAAAGTATAATGCCTTCTGTAAGAACGAAAATATTTGTTTTAATTGGCTTTATGACCTGCCACTCAATAAAATTACAGAAAAGTTGTTACATAAACAAAAAATCAAGCCAAGAATATGAAAGTTAAAGGCTACGGCACCTCTTCCTTAATGCGTACAGTTGTGCCTTAATTTTTTTCAGAATGGCATACGTTAAGTAGGGGAGTATCATTTAGCCTTGCTGTTCCTGGATTTGTGAGGTTGCCTTTATTTATTTATTTTTAAATACACCTCTTAAATTACTAGTTTGAGAGTTTACTACCCTACCACAATTTATGTGAAATCAGGCCATAAACATGAGCATTTGATTGTTGAAGCTAGATTTTTTGTTTATAAAAACTCGTGAGAAACTCAGTCTATTTCTGAAGTATTCCTACTAAATTCCTGGACATAGTGAATTAAACGTCTTTGGTTTGTACATTCTGCTGTTTTGTTTGGTGTTAGATGTATAAAGTTCTGGTTATTTCTGTCATTAAATAAACTGATCTTTGCCATTAATTATTCTTTTAAGCAACTTTCTTTTCAGAAAAGCTCACTCCAAAATTATATTTTTTGTGGTATGTAGCCACGGAATTCATGTTTAATTGCAAACTACTGAAGGGGCTCAGGTACCGGATTGCAGTGAACAGTTCCAGTTTTACAATTCTGGATGGCCAGATTAACTCCTTCCTAGAGAGTTAGATGTGAAGAACATTAATCATAGCAATTTCTCATGCATTTGCATTAAAGTCTCATGAGACCTTGAGATTACTGGCTTTTTACTATGATGGGTGGTCCCTTTCAAATGAAGGGTGGGGGCAGTAAGGGGACTACTTTATGTTCAAGACCTTTGCATATTTTACTTAATTCCAGGCTTTCTGCTATATAATTTGAGGCAGGACCACAGGCTGCTCTCTCCCACCCAGTTGATTTCCCAGTTTCTTATGTATGTTGATACGCATTCAGTGTGTTGATAATTTTTGTTTTGACCAGTAACTGAAATTGTAGAAGTTGTTTGGGTAAAAGCTGGAAGTTTCCACAGTTGGTAACTGGCCCCCCAGAAAAGATGCAATAATGGCAGTTAATTTTGCTATCCAGCAAGCATTCAAGGGCTTTGGTACTGAGGCGGAGAGGAGCAATCTGTTAGGTAGCTGCGGAGATTACTTCTGATTTGGAATGTGCTGGGGAGGGAAGTGTGTGAATGGAGGTTTGAATCTTTTGTTCCATGCCCTGTTAACCCTTGACCCCAATTAGCTGCACACTCCCTCTCACCCTGATATGCCAGTATGTCCAACAATAGTGAACAGTCATATCATTTTGTTAAAATGGTCAGTGATGAACTAGTTAAGATGAACAAATTTATTAGAGCATAAGCTTTCGTGGGCTACATATGCATCCAAAGAAGTGGGTTGTAGCCCACGAAAGCTTATGCTCTAATAAATTTGTTAGTCTCTAAGGTGCCACAAGTACTCCTGTTCTTTTTGCAGATACAGACTAACACGGCTGCTACTCTGAAAACTAGTTAAGATTGACACTTAATTTATCACCTACAGAGCAAACACCCGATTGAGATCCCTGTTGCATTATTTGTTTTCCTGCAGGCTCAGGCAGACATTGTTGCATCAGTTTATGTGCAATTCATATTTTGGTTTTCTTTGCACTCACAGTTGCTATAGATTTGCATTCTTTTATGGTTTGTCCATTATTATTATTAATAAACGTTTATATTGCAGTAGCATTTAGAGATCAATGTGTAATTTGTTCGTTGAGTAGCAGAACACTGAGTTACAGATTACAATCAATATTACTTGCTAGTTTTACAATTACCTTAACACGAGGATGCCAGTAGCCTTTTCATACAACTGTTTGCACAACAGCAGTTGAAAGAACATCTACAGTGGGATTTGATTACACATGGATATTAAATGCACTACACAAAGCAAGGTACAGACTCTTTGCAAATGAAACAGCCCCTTTGTTCCCCTACCTATTTAGCTGATCCCCTCCTAAGCAAACCCACCCAAAATAAATTTAAAAATTGTGGAACTAACATGATGTTTACCACCATTACATTGTTCACTCTGCTTGTGTATTTTATGCCTTCTCTCCTCCGGGGTCTGTTTTGTCTATTTAGACAATATTGTCACATTGTGAGAATAATCACTGGAATGACTTACCAAGGGTCATGGTGAATTCTCCATCACTGACCATTTTTAAATAAAATTGGATGTTTTTCTAAAAGATACACTCTTATGGGGATGTCTACAGCCTGAGTTATACAGGAGATCAGATTAGATGACCACAATGGTCTCTTCTGGCCTTGGACTATATGAAATTATGAATTGTTTCCTTGTACTGATGTCTCCTGTCTTAGACTAAGCTTTTTGAGGCAGGGACTGTCTATCTGTGATGTATGTTCAGCAACTAGCACAATGGGGTCCAGGTCAATGACTGGGGCTCCTAGGTGCTACAGTAATACAAATAATCCAGCCTTATCTTCCTTATGATATTGTTATCCAGGGGTAGGATAGGAGGAAATGCATAGAAAAGTATTTGAGATCAGGAAAGGAGCCAAGGATCCTCGGCAGGTGCCTGCTTTGGGGCAAAATAGAGTAGGTATGCGGTGGTGTCAAACAAGCCAATCATGGGGTAACCCCATCTGCAGAATTTAGGCATGAGAATGAAGTTCTTAACTCATGGATGGCTAACTACTGTCTGCTGAGGAAATCTGCTCGATGAGGGATTCTCAACCTGGGGGTCTTTCTAGGAAGCCAGGACAATCCAGGCCAAATTTGAGTGAAAGGGGCATTGCAAGTTGGCACTATTGTAGAAGGGTGGATCCAATTTTTTTTTTAAAAGCAACTTAAGTGAGGCATAATTCAAAAAAAGGTTGAGAACCTCCCTGCTAGATAATTTTGTTCCTAGTAGGTGAAGGGCCATGGGAGTTACACCAAGAAGATGGCACCATTTCAACAGTTTGATTCCTTCCTGACTAGGGAGGGGGAGAGGCACCCTTTGCCTCTTGATAGAATATAGTGCAGCGCTGTTCTTTGTGAGGACCTGGACTGTGGCTCCTTCCACAAGTCCAAAGGAATGAAATAAGCACTGTGGATAAGGTACTGGAAACGGCCTTGGGAGATTCCCCTCTCAGAAGCCATTCATCCAATTGTAGGTAAATACGTATTCCTTACCATCTCAGGTGGGCAGCTGCTACTGCCAGGCACTTTGTGAATACTCTCGGCAGGACTGTAGACAAGCTGAAAGGGTACTTTGTATGGGTAGTGGTTGTAGCTCACTGTAAATGTGTCCTGAAGATTGAGAGCTGCAAATCAATGCTAAACTTTTAAAGAATTGATGGAGGCTAGTGTTGCTAATCAATTTGAATTGGTACATAAACTTTAGTCATCTCAAGTCCAGTAAACTAATTTCCTCTCTCTTTGGGATATAAAGAATTAGCAAGCATAGGAACCCCTCCCTCTGAAGTCCTGAGGTGGTAAAACTGTGGTTCTTAATTGACATAAGAAATCCATTTCTTCCCTCAGTTGTTTCATGAGATGGATCTGTGAAGAGGGAC